TCCAACATTCCTCTTAAAATCAACTCGACCACGCTTGCGTCTCCGTTCCGACTTCATTCACATACTCACAATTCACACACTTGTCTTAGCGCTTTCATGCGTCTGTGTATGGATTTATTTATCTGCCTTTACTTTACCGCTATTTATCTTTATTGCATCGCGTCCAAAGGAAGAATCTGCGCATGACTTAAACAATTGTGCGTATGCATTTCATTTGCATCATAATCCCCATTTGATCCTTGATCCCATTCAAGTTGATCTCTAAGATAGATCCTACTCCATAAGGAAGACTTTTGTCTTTTATTTTACAATATAGAAACAAACAAATCAACTCAATTCAAATTATTCAAACTATTAGAGAATAAGATGTTAGTCATCTTGACCATCGGATATCAACCTCCTGTCCCATAACAATACAATTTGTGGTGGTTAAGTCAAGTAATCTCCTTCGAGATGACAACTCATCTTTTCTCCTAGACCCAATCAATCAACTACCTTTATCTCGTAGGAACTTTGACCACAATCAAAGACTTCCTTAAACCCTTTAGGGGAACTACAAATGCTCTGATTCCATTCCCGTCAGGATATGTAGGCACAAGATGCGATATCTTGGCGAGTATACTTAGAAATAAACCACTAGGTCTTTTATCCTTAAGCAGATAACCCTTAGCACTAAATAACATAAAACAAGAGGTTCCTGTAGAGTACTACAGAAACTTAGGATGCTAACACCTTCCCTAAGTTTAACCAACCCCCGAACCTATAACTCTCTAGCTTTTGCATTTGCATTGCATTGTGGATAATTCGATATTTTTCCCTTCCTTTGGACAAATTAAAGACCAGTTGTAATGAATTTAAATTCAATCTAATCAATAGCTTGGTATCCAATTTTCACCGCGACATTTACTACGAAGTATCTGTCCTTAAAAGCACAGACAAAATCCAGGTAAGCCCTGAACAACTTCCTCGGCTGCTTCAGAGATACCCAACTATGTCCGCCCTGGAAGGATTGTCGCTGAAGATGGAAGGTGCGGAAGAACAGGGAGAGTGTGGCATCAATGCAAAGGTGCTCACACACGAGCTCGAATGTCCGCATGAACGCGATCGCATTGGGATGAAGTTGAGAAGGCGCCAAAGTAAACCACTGGAACACCCCCTTTTGGAAGTAGTTGAAGGGAAGACGAAGCCCTGCTTTTCGGAATGCAAACTCGTACGTTGGAAACTGCATCCCTTTGAAAGACGAGCATATCCTATGAGCCTCTCTAGGTTTGTAGACCATCTAATTCGCGGAGGCCCCCTCAGTGAGATCCTCGACAGTCGCAAAGGCATCCGAGTTTTCAAAAACAAAGCGTGAGGCGATGCTGAGAGGTTCCTGCCCGAACCAATCGAACGGCATGCGGGTTTGCGCGACCTCAACTTCCTCGTCAGCGACGTCGAGCTCGATTTCTTCGTCGATCATGATGACACCCTCGGGCTTTGTGGCCATTTTACCTGAAAACTGAGAAAATGGTGAATTCGTCATCTAAGATTAAATTCACCCTTCCACTGCAAATCAAGTGAAAGGGCGAAGAGAGGGGGCGAGGAAACACTCTATAAACTTCCTCGACCGAAGCCCTCGTCGAAAAGCATATACTCAAGAGGGGAATCTCCTCGACGCAGAACACAAAACCCTCCTCTGCGGGAGAAAGGTTCCTCAACACTTAAACTCCCTCTAATCAAACATGGAAAGTCTCTTCAACTATAGACTTCCTCGCAATACTCACATGTCCGCCAAGGACGCTAAGAGCCTCAGAGGTCCCCGAGACCTTCATCACAGGTCCCCGAGGCCTTCATTGAAAACTTCACGAAATTTCTCATAATCCTTATGAACTCCCCGGCGTCTTCACCGGAAACTTCATGGTTCTGCCGGAAACGTCATGGGTTTACCGGAAACTTCATGAGTTCTCCGTAAAATTCACGTTTTCCGAAAACTTCATAGACTCCCCAAAAAAATCCTTGGAAAATGCATAACCTGTCGGAAAAGGCATAAATTCTGGGAAAGGTCAGAAGACTTACTTGTGCACAGATTCTGGAGTTGGACGGTACAGCAAAAGCAGACAGCAGCGGCGGCGGCGGACGAGCCTGAGGAGAGAAGAAAAGATCTTGAGAGAGATTCTTGAGCTATAGTGAGGGAAACGTGCAAATGAACGGGTCTTCCCCTCTATTTATAAACCCTAGCACGGGAAGCGATGCATTTCGTAGGCACTCAAACACCCTACTCATAGCTATCATAGGCATTTATTACTTCTGAAATGTGGCTCAAAGAGACGTCACGTGCGTCCTTTCGAAGTTCGGCGCACTGCTCGAGGGAATGGCGTGTCCACCCCTTCCATTTACATCACACCACCAACCTGTCGAGCACATCACCCGAACCTTGCGCTGCCGAGGGCACTCCCTCAAGTGTAATCGAAAAGAAAGCCACGACCATGTGTAGCGAGCAGACCGAACTCGTCGTCGAGCAACTAATGACGCATATCCCTAGTGCACACGTCACCCGCAGGCTTAGCACCTCGAGCATGTGCAACGCTCCTCTGGGCGAGTCCCTGCGACCCTCCTCGACGCCAGGATAAACTTAAGTCATTACTCCATCGTCGGGGACAGCCCAACCCAGCTTCTCGTTGGGGATGGCCCAATGAAGACCCAATCTATCAACTCGCACGGGGAACGCTCACGCGTCTTCTTCACGGTCTCCACATGCTCCCACGCGGGGACACGTCATCAGCTAACTACCAGCGTCTGAAAGAACATATCCTTCACCTTCCGAAGATCACGGGGCAGTTGAATCAGGATGAAGACCATGTGCTGGTCTTCATTACGCCACGTAGATCCTGACAGTTATTTGTATTGGGCCTAACGATTTAGCCCAATGCAAATGTCCGTTGCTCCAGCGCTGGGGGCACATTATAAATACCCTTTTTCACTAAAGGGTCAGATATTTTAATTCAAACTCACTAGCCTTTCTGTATTTGTTATCTCTTTACTATGTTTCTTACTTTGACATCGGAGTACCTTGCAAGTACACCTCTCGCCTCTTCACCACCACCAGCGAACTAGGAGCTCACGACGCATTGTTGGCTGCTGATATCTTTCTAATCAGATAAGATCAGATTCTATACTAGAACAATCGTAAATAATTACTCTTTTCTTAGGTTCGATACTAGAACATTCTTGATAGATAATTACTCTAAAAGAATGATGTCATTAGAGGAATGATCATTCCCCGTTACTCAGATCCATGATCCTTATTGCTTTGTTGACATCCTTCTTCTACGTTCTCAAAATGAAGTTATTCTTTAGTCTTCCATCTCTTTATATTAGACATTGATATTTGTATGAAGTTTCTCGAAGATCATTGGATGTATATGAAGGACCTTAGCTTAGGCTTTCGCGCAAATCTCTAATAAAATAGACTAAAGTTTCTTGGACCTTGACCAATACCAAAACAACTTGTTTACCATGTTTGATAGTTTCCTTTATAGAAAATTGTGTTTTGATTAATTTTAAGTAGAGTATTAATGATTTGTTATCGTTATGCAGAAATGTGAATAAAAAATATTTATTTTTAAAAAATTAATATATCTATTAATATGCAGATAAACATTACTTAGATTAATATAAAGTTAAAATCACTTTTTTATTATGTTTTTTAATTGAATTTAGATTTATTTGTTATATTTTTTATTTACTCTTTTATTTTGATTAAAAAATCTATGAAGTTCTTTCATTATTAGAAATCCATAAAATACTTGTTATTTGTTTTTTTTTTTAATTTTGATTTCAAAATAAAAAGAGACTTTTCATTTTCCTAACTCAACTATAATAATATATCTAATCCATAAAATACTTTGAAATCTTAAAAATTTGACTTAAAAATATTTTAAAAACCAAACTTAAAAATTTTCAATTATACATTCTTTTAAAAGTCTGAAAAATCATTAAACAAAGTATTTTAAATCTTTAAGATTTTTTTTCTTCAAAATAGTCTCTTAAAATCATAATCCAATAAACCCCTATGCTTCTTTTTTTGATATGATTATGTGTGGTTTAAATAGGTTAAATTTGTTGAATGACATATTGATCGTTAGTTATTTTCGTCAACTCTAATCTCAAACCACTATACATAAATCGAATTTGTTAGGATTTAAGAGGAACATTGTCATATAGACAACATCAAGACAGCTAAAGAACACTTCACCGTCCAAGGCTCTGAACTGTCAACAACATTTCATGGACTTTCAATTATGATCACATTAATGGTGTAAAATGATTCAGAAATTCACTGTAAACTGTAATTGATGTTAGTCACCACAATAAACTGAAGTCAAGGTTAACTAAGAGTTTATGAAAGTTAGATCTTAGCCTATAAGGCTATACAACTAATAGATCTCCACATCATTTGACCTAGGACATGTCAAAATAAAGTTGTCATCAGCTCTAGGGTCAACACCACAGTCTTGAAGACAAATTGTCACACTGAAATGTATGAACTTCTGATCAGAGTCTACACTACACCATCCAAATAGGTTGCTATAAAAAATCATCTGCTAAAATATTTGATACCACAAATAGCAAAGAAAGTTGCCTACAATGACAGATGAGGAATGGCCACCTCACATCGGATGCAGTAGCAAGGGCTCTCGTAACAGAATCAGAGGCGGAAACAGCTAGGGAGGCTCTTCGTGGAGAGTGAGTATGTGCAGAAAGTAAGCCATACAACTTTTGCAAGGACCAGGAATTCGAGCAAACACATTGCTCATGTTGAATTTTTCTTTCGGATATAAGTTTATTATCAATGGGTAACTCCCTAACAGGTATATAAAATATTATAGCAAAATGAGCAAAATGCAAGGTAGAATAGACAATGAAAATAAAATCCTTGATAGATTAACTGATTTAGAGTTTATATCTAACCAAGAAACATGAAGAGCTACAGATTCTTATCATCCTAATTTTAACATTGTTCACACAACCAATATTTCGGCCTTTTTATTCTCCAATTGTTTTAGCTCCTTACGCCAATCTTCTAGTTTTGCCAGCTTTTCTAACTGCTCTGGCTTTAAATCTTGCTCTGCAGTTTTTTCCTGCAGTGCTTCTGTAAGTCGAATCTGCACCCAACAGTCAGATGTTAAGAAAAAATAGCACTATGTGAATCATAGTTCTTCTGCAGGATGGAGAAAATTAAAATACATGTACTGTGTCGTGATAATTATCCCCATACAATTGTATCCCAAAATAAAAACAAGTTCGAGAAAATAACTTAAAACTTCGGGTAGTCCTATCCAACCAAATACTTCCATGGAATGGAACCGACTCAAATGTTGGCCACAACTTAAAGTACATATATACCATGTTACATTACAATACTAATATAGAGAGACAAGTAAGAATGAGTATCTGGCTATTGTGCGACCAATGGAATATTTCATAACTTATAAGATAACCAATTAGAATGATATAGGATAAGGAGAAGTTTGTAATGGTAATGTGATAAGTAGGTAACCATAGAAGATAGGGAGTTAGTTGGGTAATTTCCTGAGTTAGAGAAGTATCATTGAGTATTGTGAACATTGACTCTATCGTAGAAGGGAGGACCTTGAAGGAGAGTTTTCTCTCTCCTATTCCGTCTTATTTTCTCAATAAAAGTGTTCTTTCTCTAATTCTTTTCAACTTAATTCCTTAGTTCCTAACATAACCTATGTAAAAGGTCCAACTTATGTCCATGACCAAAACTAGCAAAATTGCCGTGCTTCATTTTAAATATCATTCGAAATTGGAGTTTTTAATTGATATCATTTGCCTCACTCTAACTACCCACCTGGAAATAAGAAGTGAAACTCGCCTACATTGCGGGGGGTGTTGTATATTTACCCCAAAAGAGAATCACTAAAGCTATCTAAACATACACGACAAATAGTCTTTCATATTTACAAGAATTAACCTCATCAAACACTCAAAACCAATGAATGCTTATGTAATCTATATCACAACCATGTTTAAGACGGATATATATGTCAAGCCAATCTCCCCTAATGCAGAAAATCCAAAGCATAGTACAAGTACCTTCTTTTTCAATGCTCGAATTTTTTTGTCTAAATCTTGAGCCGAACCAATTGGCTCGGAAGCTTCCGCAGAGTTGTTGGTAGGAGTAACAATTGAGCTATCTCCAGAAACAGCTAGTTCATTGATCTGAGAAGTTAACGTATGGACAGTATTCTCCACAACTACTGCTTCTTGCTTTCTACTATCTTCAACTACAGTTGGTTCTAAGTTAGTTTCCTTTACCTGCAAGAAATAAATAACTCCGGCAACTTCATTTATCTATTCACAAACAATGGGATACAATCACACACATAAACACTTGTCAAAAGCTTAATTTCCAATGTAACACTACATAATCACATACACAAAAACTTCTCAAAAACTCCATTTATCTAACAACATTGTGTACAACATGGTAAAGAAGAGAACCGAAAGAAACCTGAAGTCGTTTCTTTTCTTTCTTTCTTTCATTTCGCTTAACAGCTTTGGTTTTCGGTTTTGAATCCAATTGAGGGTCGTAACCTGGAGGAGGACCAATATGCGAAGCCATTTCTTTTCTCATCTGCACAATTTCAAGAAACATCAAAAGAAAGTGAGAACTACATTGATTCCACCATTGTTGAACTGAAAATTGAGAGTTTAGGGTTTTGAGAAGAAGATAACATACGAGTGCGGGTTTTGGTTGATAGATAGCGACTTCATCTGGAGGAACGTAACCGGGTCGGATTCGAATTTCTTTTCGGAGTGTTCCGTCGGGTCGACGGGTCGAAGCGATGATCCGTTCACCATCTTTAGGGCTTCTGTCACTGGTCGACATCACTCGTTCTCTCTCTGCCACCCTTCACTTTTTTCTCACTACAAATCAAATTTCCAACTGTTCTTCGGCTTTAGTAATAGATTTTAATTTTTGTCAAACAAAAGTAATGTTAACTAATTAATTTTTGGTCAACACTATTACCCAGGGTATATTTAATGTCACGTAATTTTAGTATTATGTTTTATTTTAAAATAAATTAAAATTTTAAACCAATGTTAAATTCAGGATATAAAAGAATTTGTCGATCAACTCTCTAATATTTTTGAATTTAGTTGAATATCGTATTCTCGACTAATTAAATAGTAAAATTTAATGTCAAGTTATTTTATTATTTTATTTAAAATAATTTTTAATTTAGTTTGATATCGATATTTTAGCCAATTAAATAATAAAATTTAATGTCATATTATTTTATTATTTTATAAATTAAATTTGGTTTAATTGTAATTTTGGTTCCCTTATTTTGTGTTTTTTTTAGTTTTGATCCCCCCATTTTAAAAATCACGATTTTGGTCTCTTTTTTAGGTTTCAAGATTAATATTAGTTCCCTTGTCACTTTAAGTCATGTTTTTAATGAGGTGACGCTTTGAATGCTCATATGGCATTTCCATATCAATTAAAATGATTTTTTTAATTTAATATAATTTCTATGTCATTAACTTAAATATTATTTCATTTTTACAAATTTAATAAAATAAAATTTAATTATAAACATTATTTCATACCCAGTACCCATTATTTCATTTTGACATTAACGTACAAGGTGAATCCAGACCTTCAAAGGTTCATCTTCAAACAACGTAAACATCTCGCTTCAAATCCAAACCTTCATTTTCAAACCGCTTCAGAATCCAGTTCATCTTCAAACCGCAGTTCATCTTCCGACATGTCCGAAACGAATTTATCTTTTTCATCAACAAACCAGTCTGGGTCTGGTATAAGAAGAAGAGATAATAGATGTTGGTGTGAGCTTGAGTCACCGTTGATGACGTCATGGACATACGATAATTCCGGAAGAAGATTTCATGGGTGTGGTAATTTTAAGGTGATGAGAAAAAAAGGATGTAATTACTTTCAGTGGGTTGATGAAGACATGAGCAGTCGTGCTAAAGATGTGATAAGATCTTTGAAAGACAAGAATGAGGAGCTCATGGATGTGATTAAGGACATCAAGAAAAATGAAGATTTGTTGAAGATGAAAATTAGGTTTATGTATTATTTTGTGGGGTTGTCTTTGATGGTTGTCTTTTTAATTGTGTTTGCATTAGTTGCAACACATGTACTCAAATGATGTAATGTCAAGTGTTGTAGTTATTTTGATGTTTATGTAGTTTCCAAATGAACTAATTTCAAATGAAGAGTTATGTTGTAGTTACTTTGATTGTCTTCAAATGATGTTTATTACAAATTTTATGCAAAAAGATAGTTAATTATCTGTATAACAAATTTTCTGCAGAAAGATAGTTAGAAACAAATTTCCTGCATAAGCAGATTTGTTTCAAGTTGGTAAGCCCTTGTTATGATGTTATGAACTGCAGCTGTTATGATGTTATGAACTGCATCTGTTATGAGATGTTATGATGTTATGAATTGCATCTGTTATGATGTTATGAAAAGGTCATTTGATGTAATTAGTTATGACTTGCATGTTTGGTTATTATACGAGTGAATCAATGATTTAGTTCTTGAAATTATAGGCCTAAGACAATTTGGTATCTGTTATTGAGGTTAGGTATATTGATTCATACTAGTGTTGTTAATTGATTTTTGTAGCCTCATTCGGTTCGGCTAAACCATCATAATCTGAAGCTTCTAAAATATTGGACATGGCAGTTTGTTTTTACTCGAATTGGTTGAGCTGGATCTTCACCATCATTCTCAATATTTCTGTTTCATTGGCCTTGTTTCATTGGCCTTGTTTTTACTCGAATTGATTTTTGTATTAGAACCACACAAGCCTCTAGAGAAATTCCCGTGCATCAAAGGAATCCTTTTCTTCTGCTTTAGAAGCTAACTGATACAAACAATTATAGAATTTAATAAAGCTACTGATATATACTCTTAATGCATATAACCAACCCATGTAAAGAACACTTCATAAGTTATCTGTTATCAAAAAAATTAATAGTGAATGTATACACTTCATAACAGTAGAAGTTCTGTTTTGGCTCTTGCAACAGAAGTTCAAGACCGATGTATCATTACATTGACGACAACATTAAAGACAACATATTTTAACAAAAAGTAAAGCAAATCATATGCTATAGCAGCATCACAAAAACTAAAGCAAAACATAGAACTATTTTTGGGTTGGTGGCGGTGCTTGCGACCCTCCGTCTACAACAGTTTCTCCCGCAACATGTATCAAATTATATAGCATTATCAAGTTATATCAAGTTATAACAACATTGTTAACATATAGCATTGTTAACAGCAGCATGTATCATTGTTATAAGCACCACACCAACATTGTTATAAGCACCACACCAACATATATCAAGTTATAAGCACCACACCAACATATATCAAATTATAAGTACTACACCAACATTGTTATAACAGCAACATATATTAAGTTATAACAGCAACAACATTGTTAAAATATATCAAATTATATCAAGTTATAACAGCAGCATATATCAAGTTAACAGCAGCAACATATATCAAATTAACAACAACAACAGCATATATCAAGTTAACAGCAGCAACAGCAACATATATCAAATCAGCATTGTATAATTAACAGTCTTAGCATTGTATATAACAGTTATAATTAACCTTCTGTTGATCTGATATAAATCCATATTTGTTGTCTTGTATAGATTGTAAGTCTTCTAATAACAAATTAAGGAACCATTTCCATGAGTCTTTCGTTTCAGCTTCCACTACGGCATAAGCGATTGGATAAATCTTGTTATTTCCATCCTTACCAACAACACCTATTAACTGACCTCCAAAGTCCCCTTTAAGAAAACAAGCATCCAGTCCTATTAGAGGCCTACACGTCGTTGCAAACGCTGCCTTACAAGCTTCTAAGCATACATGTATTCTTTCAAAGACATGACCACCATCTGAATCAGCACACTTAATTTTAACAGTGGAGTTTGGATTTGACTTTAACAACTCCTCACCATAGCTTCTAAGGTGTGTGAATTGTTCACGACCAGCACCTTGAATTAATTCCATTGCCTTTTTCTTGGCTCTGTAAGCTTGACCCTTTGACAACTTCACCCCTCACTTCTTAATAGCTTCTGCAATCATCCCTTTGGTTTTTATTTCAGGAGTGTGTCTTATGGTGTACACAAATTGGCGACCCAACCAATCTGTTTTTGCTTGTCTATTTTTGGTTGTCCTATGACAGCCATGACGATCAGTCAAGTTAAAAAGTTGCCAATATTGATTGGTAGTCCTCATGCTAAACCTAATATGAAATGGACAACCATCTACACACTTGACAACCATTCTCTTCTTGTCATTTTTCTTAAATACAAGATTCTTCTTGTTCTCCATAGCATACTCCTTTATGGCATCTTTGATTTGTTGTTTATCCTTGAACATCATCCCTATTTCAAGTTGTGTGGCTTCCCTAAAGATTGGAAACTTTGTCGTATCACCTTCAGCATCACTACCGGGTGGAGTTTGAAGCACATCTGAATCACTACCATTATCGGAATTATCATCCAACTTTAAAGGTTTTTCTGCATTAGGTAAAACGGTCTTCCAATTTATACTAGCATCAACACCTAAATTCATCACATCAATTTCATCTTCCAAATCTTCATCCTCGTCATCCTCACTGCCCATGCTATAATCTGGATCTATTTCACTCTCATCATCTACGTCATCAACGCTAACATCATTATCTTCCTCAACATTAACCTCTTCATCATTTGCTCCTTCACCATTGCCTTTGTCACCATTAACCTCTTCATCATTTTCTCCTTCACCATTGCCTTTTTCACCATTATCCTCCTCGACATTAACCTCTTCATCATTTGCTCCTTCACCATTGCCTTTTTCACCATTATCCTCCTCAAAAATAACATCCTCAATACTTATTTCTTCAACTTTGGGTTCAACATAAAGATCAACTACCTTAAATCCTCTAACATCCTCCATTAACCTTAAGACATCATTGTCATTGTTAAGAGGCCGAAGTCCACGAGAAAAGGAAAAATTAGGATTCCAATACCATAAACACTTTATATTACGATACCCCTCACTCTTGATCAAATCTTCAATTTGCATGTAGGACATCAAATCCACATCCCAATCCCAATTCATTTCACTTACAACCCCATCAACATACAACAGAACTGGATTCTGAATTAAATGTCCCCTATGGTGTACTCTAAATCTGACAGCTTCCGTATCAGAGGGCCTACAAAACAAAACAAAAACAGCAACTGAATTAAACCATATATAAAACCGGGAGTTGGTATGAACAATTCATATGCTATGATAGAACACAAACGCCATTTGCATGTTTAGGGATTTTATATTCAGAGGTGAGTTACGAAACATACCTCGACACGTAACTTCGGTTTGCCATTTCAGAGACGACGGGAAGCGAGCTGCAGTTTGATTTGAAGCGAGTTGCGGTTTGATATAGAACTGGGTTTGGGTTACAACTGGAAGAAGATGAAAATGAAGGTTTGGGTTACAATGGGAAGAAGATGAAAATGAAGGTTACAATGATATAGAACTGCGGTTTGGAGATGAACTGGATTCTGAAGCGGTTTGAAAATGAAGGTTTGGATTTGAAGCGAGCTGTTTACGTTGTTTGAAGATGAACCGTTGTTTGAAGGTCTGGATTCACCTTGTTCGTTGTTTGAAGATCACCTTATACGTTAATGTCAAAATGAAATAATGGATACTGGGTATGAAATAATGTTTATAATTAAATTTTATTTTATTAAATTTGTAAAAATGAAATAATATTTAAGTTAATGACATGGAAATTATATTAAATTAAAAAAATATCATTTTAATTGACATGGAAATGCCACATCAGCCTTCAAAGCGCCACCTCATTAAAAACATGACTTAAAGTGACAATGGGACTAATATTAATCTTGAAACCTAAAAAAGGGACCAAAATCGTGGTTTTTAAAATGGGGGGATCAAAACTCAAAAAAACACAAAATAGGGGGACCAAAATTGCAATTAAGCCATTAAATTTAATGTCGTCCAATTCAAAGCACAAAATATTTATCCTTATTATCTCTTTAATTAACAACATCACACATTAAAGTCGTAGATATTCTAATATTACGTCTACGAGTTAGGATGAGACGGAAAGAAAGAATTTTAAGGAAATGATCTTTTTAGGATGTGATGGAAAGGGAGAGTTTTAAGGAAAGGAGATTATAAATGATTTTCTTATGGCATGTCTTCTCATGCTGGACCTTTTCATGATAGAATACCTTCTGATATTAGGGTATTTTCTAATGACGTGTGTAGTCGACTCCACCACTTGCACATGGTGCGGATGAAGCTCAACATTTGCATATGATAAGAGTCATTATGAATAATTTCATGGTTTTGGCAATCTCAGATGGTGAAGTTTATACTTTAGCATTACAAGAAACACACATTGTCCGCGAGAACCTAAACACTACCAAATGATTCGCGACATTTCAACATCTTGATTATGTTGTTCACAGATTTAAAAATTGTCACATCAAACTCGATCGGTCCCTTAGTTAACCTATAGTGATATGCTCTCCATATAACTTTCAAATCTTCATCAGTCTTCAACTTAATAAGGTTATATCTCACATTTCCATCAGTATCAATCCAATCTTCACGAAGCTTGATTTTACTAACCTTTTTGTTCTCGATGTTAGGCAACATATCATTCAACTTAGATCTCAGAAGAACGAGACATGTGGTGTTTTGGAAGAGCCAAAATTCTACAGGAAGTTTCACACCGTCAAAATACACTTCTGCTTTAATAAAAAACGGATGTATTGTAAGATGTTTTTTTTACCACATGACCTCAATTTATATAACTTAGAATTTTAGAATACACAAAATCGTCCATGCAATCACATCCATACAAAACTATCAACAAAATATCAATTGTTCTATTAACAATGTCGGATTTTTGCATGCCCCACTAAATTTCTGGTAATTAAAAGTTAATTTGGAAAAACCATTACTTATTGCACTATTGAATTTTTCATCTTTGTTAAAAAAAATTGAAAATGTCAGCACTTTTAAAATAACTGATTGGTGACATAACAATACCGATTTTTTAAAATACCCAATAAATCGAATTTTTCATATATACTACTGAAAAAAATTATTTGTACAGGATTTTTTATATATTCTACTGGATGTTTTGTCCAAACCTTTTGCTAATATTTTTGCAAAGATAACATGAGTATTATTAAAATATGAATAAGTAGGGGGTGGATTTCTCACTATCTAATCCGCACAACCCCATCCATTAGCATAACAAGGCGTCAAGGCCCATTTTTTCCGATAATAGTCAAATATCTTCTCCGCAATTAATCCCTCAAGCTAAGGACTATTTGAACCCAGAATATCAATGACCATTTAAGGTCAGATTCATCATTAAGTTTAGCAGTAATGCTGGTTGTAATTTTTTAATCAGACATATTTAATTCAAATATTGACAGCTTTCCCAGCATCCAAGTAAAAAAGACACAGCAAATTTGAGCATCAACACGGGTAACACTTGTTATACATTAATTACATACTTGATATAAAACAAATTTGGGACAAAGAATATGAAGCACCTACATTTCAGTACAAATGAACAAAATTTTACAACAGCTCTTGCCGAGGATAGGGGCAGAAGTCTTGTGACTTAAATGCCCAGCAGGGAAAACAGTACAATTGTGGTAAAAGAATCCTGTTAAAAGCTCATTCTCTTTTATCCTCGTCTGATTCGTTGTCTTCATCAGAAGATGCATCAGTTCGGGCATTCTTCTCTTGCCTGACTAAACTTAGTTCTCCTTGACCTTCTTGCTTTCCCTTAGTTAGAGACATAGCTTCTTCATCATCAGAATCTTCTCCCACTTCTTCTGAGTATGCATACCTATGTAGTTTGCAGAAGCAAATAAAACAAAAGTGAGACTACGGGAAAACATCTCAGTCACATGTTACATCATGAAGCAGCATGCTGTTTTTTGTTTTATTTTCCGTTTCGCTACTACAAGTATATCGTTAGCCAAACAACATTAGCATGGCGTAAGTATAGAGTGCGCTGTGGTATAACTTTGCATAACAATATAAGGTTTCTTCTCAGGACAAAGCAATCCCATCAGATGGGTCATAAATTTCAGAAGTTTGAAGCTTATTGATTGATGAGATTCATCTAGTGAATCATTTCAATATAGAAATATAACCAGTAATAAATGTTGGAAGAAAAGTTATATTAACGACTTAAAAAATAGAATGCACCTTTGAGAGCTCTGGGAAGGCGCCCAGAGATAACATATTACACAGAGTAGTGCAAATGCAAGAGCGTCCCAAAATGCAGTGATGATCCAAGCACTTTGCCAGCGTTCATTAAATGGATCTGTTGCTTTGAAGTAAACCTGTAAAAGCAAAATTAACATATGTTGTTGGCGGCCCAGATAAAAAAATTTGAAGAATGATACATGATGACGGTATATTTCCATAAGAAACCTGCATTGCGGCAATTTATTTGAAATAGAGATATGAAGTTTCAGTTAAGTCAAACACAGTTAAAACCAGAGACAAACAAATCTGTGATGTTTCTTCAAATGTATCCCTAAAGTGAAGAATCCCACTTAGTCATCATTTCGCGTGCTCCTTTGTTCATCCATTTTCCTTTTGTTCAATTGGCTGATAGGTTTAGTGGTACACATTTAGTTTCTAATTTGTTGGGTATTCCTTGACTACGGTCTTTGAGCTGCCGCTTCTCTATTAATAATTTGTTTTCTAGATATTTGAATGTAACAATAACAATCCCTATTCCAATAGGTAGGTCAGCTGCATGGATCAGTACCATTGAGCTCTATCAAAAATCAATTTTTTGTAAAACCATTGAATGCAACAATTACAAGCCTTATTCCAATAGGTAGGTCAGCTACACGGATACCATTGAGCTCTATCAAAAATCAAATTTTGGTAAAACCATTGAATGCAACAATAACAAGCCTTATTCCAATAGGTAGGTCAGCTACATGGATCAGTACATTGTGCTCAATCAAAAATCAAATTTTTGTAAAGTGATTGATTTTTTATTTATTTATTTTCGCAGGTCTTCCTCTCCCTTTTTGAATTAAACAAAAGCCACTTAGTCTTCTTCTCACATATGCACTTGATATTTACCAAAGAAAAGCAACAGATAATAACAGGTTCCATTTTACAAGTTAAGCTTTCTCAATGTTAGTCCCAAATGCTAGCATTTCTACCTTGCGAGTAAAACAACATATATAAAATCTATAGGAGTAGCCAGTTTCCAAACATGAGGGAGCTAGGGCAAAGACATGTTTATTTCAGATTCTTAAGAGCCCTTAGCTGGGACATATGCACCTATACATTGACAACTGAATGTGTTTTGTGGTTTCGGTTCCTTCTTGCAAGTTCTACTCACTCATTTCTCTCTTCTCAGGATGAATTACATTATTATATTTTACCAGACCATTACTTGACCACTTGTAAGAAATAGGAAATACAAAGTAGGTCCAGTGCCTACAAGCAGAGGTAATATGGATAGAAAATAAAGAAGGCTTGAAAAGAGCAAGAAAATTAAAAATCAGGATTAGACTATTTTCTGGGTTTCTTCTTTTCAATTGCAGCAATGTAATATAACAGTGTAACAGGAATATCAGTTTTTTCTTGAGATAAAACAAGAATTTTAGTTATTAACTACAAGTAGTCCATGCCTGTGTTATATTGCACAAAATAAATAAATTGATTAGAAGCCTTACCTCATATCCTATCCAAACAACTGAGGAGATCACCGTTACTAGTAGTGCATTTGAGAATTTCCTGTATGTATCCAATTTAACAGAACTCCGTTTTGCCTAACAAGGAAGATACAAAATGAAAGTCAAAAAATATTGAAAAAAAAAGGATAGTCAAAAAATCCCAAACTGAAAAATTTGGAAGCAGGTTGCTGTAAAATAATAGCACCTAGAGGAAAAGATACCTGTAACTGTTCCAGTGTTTTTGACAGAGAAGTAAAAATCCATAAAATCAAAAACGCATCCAAGAAAGCATCAGGAAGAACTAGAATGAGCCTTGCCCTTCCTGATACATCATTGATGGTCCCCACATATTCAGTAATGTCCAGCAACTCTGATGCAAGCAAGTAAGTTATTCCAAGTAAAAGGACCTTTGATGTAAGACCGCCAAGAGTGGGTCGCACAACACCATAACCCATGGAAACAGAGAGAATGAGAAGCCTTGCTATCGTTTTTCTTATAGCCCCAATTGTAACAACCCATGTTGTGACCATAATAGGCCTGACTCCAGTATTGTTGAAATTGGCGTACTCAGAATACCAGAGAATCATCTCAAACAATCCAAGACCAATGACAGCGGATATACAGTGCTGAAGTTGCAGTATATCATCCCAAAACCTCACATACTGAAGGAGCCAAATCATGCCAAGGAAGATATAAGCCAGTGCCATAAATACATAGAACTTCTTTAATGGGGCCATTCTACCAGGTAAGAACCCATCAGGGTTTTTCCAGATTGTCTTCCCAGTCATTACAATTTCCTTGAGCTTGGGGTCACAAGCTACAAAAAACAAATTATACATTCCAGTCTTCGTGATAGGAACCTCTTTAGAATCTAAACTAGCAATTCGGGATTTCCCCTTGAAATAAACATCTACAATGACTGGCCAATTAATATCCGTTGCAGAAGGTCTCCTGATAACCTCTCCTTGCTTACAACCTCCCATCTTTGCTAAATCACGGGTGCAACAGATTGCTCGTTGCCCGCCGTAAACAGAACCGCCTATATCATCACGATCAGCAGCCTCAAAAATAATAATGTGTACCGGCACTGTCCCTCGCGCCTTGGCTTCATATTTTCTTCTCCTAAAGGTTATATTCTCAAATCTATCACCGATAAGTAAAAAAAAAAGTCAGTGATTTTTGTTATGTTTGACAAATAATTCAATTAACAATCAATAATAGTAAATTCATACAAATTGATGAATTCATCTAAATGATGCACAAGTAAAGTAACTCACAGTACAAATCAAGCAATGCACATTACATTATTAATTAATCGCAATGAAGCAGAGAGAAAGGGAGAGTACCGAATGTAAGAACGTCCATCGTGGATGGAATCGGGATGAGCATCGGCGGTGAGGGAGGCGGCGATGCCTTCGCTGCCGCCGGAGAGAAGAAAAGCATTACCGACATCTTGAAAAGGTTCATGATTATAGATATGAATGGATGCAAAAGAGGTAAATAGAATGGAAGATATAAATATTAATAATAAGGGTAAAAATAGGAATGAAGATGCGAACAACATGGATCTCGATCTCGGTTTTGGTAATGGCGAATCTATGGATTGGATCGGCGAAAAGAAAGGGTGAAGAGAAAGAAAATGATGATTCCGATTCCGGTTGCGAACTCAACTCGGATTATAGTGGTTGTTGAAACTTCACTCTCTCCGGTGGGTAGGATGTGAACGCCAACGACAACAACTACATATAGTGATACTTACTTCACGCGCGGATCTAGTTTCTGTTTTATATAGTACCTCGCTTGTGTTATTTCAATAACCAATTTTAGTAAACTTTTTAAACGGTTAACACATTAACCATGTTTAGAGTCATATTATTTACTTGAATTTAGTTGAAACGAGGGAGATTTGCACGAATATGATGTGTTACTCTATGAGTAATTGTTTTAAAAATACTAGCGTTCAGGCACTCGCGTCTGTCCGCTTTTTTATTGCAGATATATAAATATAAATGATATATTTTTATTTAATATTAATTTTATATGGAAGTTATGTGAGAAATTATTAGCAGGGAATTATATGAAAGATGATAGTAATAGTTTAATGGAAGTTATTGTGTAAGTTATATATTTTAAAATAAGGGTAAATTTAGTATAAAGAAAAACTACACCAAAAACCAAGTATTGCCTTTACATATGTTATAGATAAACAAGAAAAATAAAATTATTTTATAAAAGAATTTATTATTTTTAAAAGAAAATCTGTTTTGATTTATATATGTATCAAAATATAACTTTTTTATATAAAAAAATATTTAGATGAGATGTATATTTTTTGTATATAATATTATTTTTATTTTTATAATATTTATAAAAATATTTGAATCAAAAGAGAATTTGTTCTTATTTAAAATAATATTAAAATTCAGTAATTAATTTAAAAATAATATTTGTCATTAATAACATATATGAGTGAAATAATTGCATCAATAATGTATATCTCAATTTTGCATAAGGCAAAACAAGTTGGCATTTCAATTTTAAAAAAGTCACATTTAAAAACACATTAATCGAAACACTTATAAGATGTTGAACGGCTCAAAATTGTATATTTTTTTAATCAGTTGAGACACTTATAAATCTTTAAAGACATAGAAAAAAATCAAATATAAACTATTTGTTGATGATTTTTAAAAACGCAAACATCAAAAAAGCAAGATGAGATTAAAAACACAGAAAACACAGTGAAGATTAAAGGTTATTTTCGAAAATTAAAAGGGTAACAAGATGGATTTTCGAAAACACAAACATGGAAAAAGAAAGGTGATATTTAAAAACACAGGAAAGACAACAAACACTGGAGGTTATTTTTCAAAAACTGAAAGGGTAACATAATGATTTGAAAAAATAAAATGGTTCAAAAATAGTAGAGTTGAAAAACATGAAGATTCATGAATAGAAATTACTTATTTGAAAAATCTATTCTTGAAAACGTTGGTTTCCAAAATGGAGCTTCGTATAGATGGTAAAAGAGAAATGGAGACATGGAGAAGTTTGAATTGTAGTTCTGTTTGAAATGGAAGTGAAATGAAAAAGTAAGGGTTTAGCACAGATTTCCCACCTTGAAATATTTGGCCTAATAAGAGATGGACACATCAACTACCTACCTATTACTATTTATTGTCAGGATTCTACCATTTATATCCTTCACACCTAAAATAAATATGTTTAACTCAAGGTTATCAATGTAATTAACATATTCTATTCTTTTACATGGTTGAAAACTCTTCACATCCATTTGTCTTTCACCTATTGGACTAATTAAATATTAATATGTTAAAAAGGTTTTCCCACTTTTTTCAATGATACCCCGCTTCATTGCAACACAAGCATACAATAAACAAGTTTACATGCTTCCTCTCGTCTTTCTCCCTGCACCTCTGGTCTTTCACGCAACACAAGCATAAAGTCAAAGACGTTCATCCTTCAACAGCTTCTTTTCCACTTCCTCGTGTATGATGCCTTTCACCCTTCCACGACTTTTGTTTTTCCATTGCGACTGATTTTTCCATTGTTCATTCATGGTTTTTCGCCAATGTAACAGTTGGTTATATATTTTTGCTTATTGTTCTTCATTATGCATGACAAAAATCGAAAGTTTCAATTTTCCCTTCTTTCCATTCATATTTATATTTTGTAGGACTTTGAAATGGTTTTGCTAATGGTTTTGGGAAGACTTTTTTTGTTCAAATCTTCGTGAATGCACCCGTTTCAACATATGTTTTTGAGATGCTTTTTTGAAATCCAGTTGTTTTATGTTCACCATTTTTCATGTTTCAAATTTCATGGTTCAAGTGCTATTGTTAGAAAGCATGTTATATAACTATGAAAAAGGTTGGTGTGGTTACTCTTTTTTTGTGTGTTGTTGGTACTTTTCAGATCAATATGTCTAGAGCACCCATTATGATTGCTGATTTGAAGATAGGTAACAACGTATGGAAGCTCGCAGCTCGTGTCATTGATTTATGGATCGTGAAGGACCGTAACGGACAACAATACTTTGAAGGTGTTCTCCAAGATATCGAGGTATATGTTTATTGTTATAGAATGTTCATATGTCATGTTACTAATATTATACTTACAAGGTGTCCTAACACTTCATTTCATTCATAGTGTGACAAGATACATGTCGTGACTCGCAATAGGGATTTCAATTTATGGAAGCAGAGACTATGAGAACATCAAACTGTCATGGTTTATAATGGTGACCCGTTAACCAACGATCTTGCCTTGAAAGTATGTGACAACCCGTTGAAGCTTGCTTTCACTGGTGGTACTACTGTAACGGTGGTTGACATGCCAGAAATACATGCTTACTAGTTTTGTTTCAAACCCATTGTTGATTTCTTACACGAAGATTTTCGAGAAAATCACTTATATGGTATTCGCAATGTTTTTTTCCTCACATTACCAGCATGATGACATGTTATTGAAAATAATTATTCTGACTATTTGGCCTTTCTTTCATTCATATGTGATAGGTGTGCTCCACGAAGTTGTCAAGACTCAAGTTGCGGGAGGCGGAAAGAAGGCTTGCGTCAACCTTATCATATCCGATGAAATGTGTGTGTGTGTGTGTGTGTGTGTGTGTGTGTGTATATATATATATATATATATATATATATATATATATATATATATATATATATATATATATATCATATAATGCTTTATTTATCTCTTTATTTGTTATTTGATTGGTGTCTATTAATTACTTCTCTTTGTTTGTTATTAGTGGTTCTGAAATTGATCTGACTCTGTGGGAAGCATATGCCACCCAGTTTATGACCTACATAAATGAGAAAACAGCACATGGCCCGACTATTATCGTCATCACTCATGCCATGTGCCAACAAAGTTCAGATAACGCTTGTTATTGATATGCCACTCTAATTTGTCCATGTAATAGTTACTGATATGAAAATTCACTTTTCGCAACAACGGGAAAATTGTACATCTCCAATGCGTGGCATGGAACAAAAATGCTTCTCGATTATGGTCATCCTTAAGTCACTTCATTCAATTCTAAGTAAGCCATAACCTTTAAATCATGTCATGATGCAGTCCCTTTAATGTACTGCACTTTATATAATGCTTCACTTATTTTTAGGTTAGGTGGCAATGTGACTTCCCAGGTGACGTCACAACCATTATCTCAGCCCTGTGCATCTCAAGGGTCTTTTGTTGATAGGTCTTTTTCCTACACCAATGATGTTAAAACAATTGGGGAAATCATTAGCCTGCAAAATGTAAGCTTCTTAGTCTCAATCGTAAGTTGTTTTCAATTGTAAATCCCATATCTATTTTGTTTGCTTCTTTACAAATGTTGTGATACATTCCATGTCATACATCTTTACATCAAACTTTTTGCAACACTATTGGTACAACTAAGAGGTTTAAGTCAAGTAAGTTTGGTTGGTACTATGAACAATGTCCAGCATGTAACAGGACTAACAAGTCACCTGGGGAGCCATTCATATGCACTTGCTGTGAAAACATACCTCCACCTATCACCAAGTAAGCACATCATTCTTATTTGATACATATATAAACTTAGCACCTTGTATGCATCTGTTTGTTAATTGTATTGCATTGCAACCAATTCATTAGGTATAAGATCGAAATTGAGGTCGAGTATGCAGGAAATTGTGGTTATTTTGTGTTTTGGGACAATGATTGTATCAAATATGTTGGAATGTCGGCACATGATTTAAGAGAAATCATGAAAAGGGTATGTCCATATTTTGTAGTTTAACATATGTTTGATACATTATATATATATGCTTGAGACATTCAATACATGCACATGAAACCATGCTAATACCTAATATCCTTTGTACTTGAAGAAAACATGTTGTCTTTTACATAGTCAAAATACAATATTTTACCTCATTGTGGGAATAGTTGATGTTCTATGTTGCACTCATAAGATAAAAACTAACAATGGCAGGAAAACCATACACTACATATTTGATAGTTTGACATATGTTTGATCCATTATATATATGCTTGAGACATACTAGATATTCACATGAAATCATTTTGAAATATTGTTAATTCCTCATATCCTTTGTACCTGATGAAATCATGTTGTCTTCTACATAATCATGCTACAATGTACTTGGAAAAACTATACAATACATATTTTGTATTATAACATATGTTTAAGGCATTATATATATATATATATATATATATATATATATATATATATATATATATATATATATATATATATATATATATATATATATATATATATATATATATATATATATATATATATTCTATACCTCATATTGTTTGTACTTGATGAGAGCCTGTTGTCTTTTACAGAGTCATGCTACAATGTCTTTGGCAACTAATACACTGCATTATTCCAATGTTGAAATATATTTGCTTTGAATATATTCACATGAAACCATTTTGAAATATTCATAATCCCTCATATCCTCTGTACCTGCTAAAATGTTGTTGTCTTTTACATTGTGATGCTACAATGTACTT